ATATATATATATATATATATATATATATATATATATATATATATATATATATATATACACACACACACACACTCCCTTTTGCATTTCTGTCTATAGTGTACTTCTTCAAAATGAGCTAATACACGAAAACACTCAGATTTATCATTTTTCCTTCTGGAAAGAAATATATATATATATATATATATATATATATATATATATATATATATATATATATATATATATATATATATATATATATATATGACAATGTCAGACCACGGAGGAAAAATGAAACAGGAAATTTCCTTAAGTGCTTTCGTATATTAAATACATCTTCAGAAGGTCTATATTTAATTTTTATTTAATATAATATACGAAATAGAAGAATATTAAATAGAAGAATTTAATATACGAAAGCACTTAAGGAAATTTCCTGTTTCATTTTTCCTCCGTGGTCTGACATTGTCACATTCTTAATCACGTGTTTATTTTCGTGATATACACACATATATATATATATATATATATATATATATATATATATATATATATATATATATATATATATATATATATATTAAAACATGACAAAAAAGGATTATATTAACGAGTGTGGCAGTACTTCCCTTAAGAAGAAAACTTAAATATTAATTTTCGAAAGTTAATTTTACGTTAATAATGAATTTGTCTTTTGAAAGGGGAAAAAAAGTAATTTGGAAAGTAAATTTTACAGTTTCGTTCCCAATAGAATAAACTAAGACATGTAGAGAACATGTGTGCCACAACCATTTATATAACCCTTTCTCTCAACATATACTCATAAATATTTAAAACAGTAAAACAATAAACTATAAACAGTATAACTCAATAGTAACTCAATATGAACATCGTATAAAAAAATTGTCAAACAACTCGGGTCCACTATTAAACGTTCATCAACAATTTTCAGTAATGTAAGAGGCAATCTTAAACAGAATATTTAACAAAATCCGTAATATATATATATATATATATATATATATATATATATATATATATATATATATATATATATATATATATATATATATATATATATTGTACCTAGTAGCCAGAACGTCGTACTCGGCCTACTATGCAAGGCCCGATTTGCCTAATAAGCCAAGTTTCCCTGAATTAATATATTTTCTCTAAATTTTTTCTTATTAAATGATAAATCTACTCATTTCATTATGAATAAGGTCAATTTTTTTATTGGAGTTAAAATTAACGTAGATACATGACCGAACCTAACCAACCCTACCTAACCTAACCTAACCTATCTTTATAGGTTAGGTTAGGTTAGGTAGCCGAAAAAGTTAGGTTAGGTTAGGTTAGGTTAGGTAGGTTAGGTAGTCGAAAAACAATTAATTCATGAAAACTTGGCTTATTAGGCAAATTGGGCCTTGCATATTAGGCTGAGAAGTGCGTTCTGGCTACTAGGTACGACATATATATATATATATATATATATATATATATATATATATATATATATATATACGTTCTGGCTATATATATATATATATATATATATATATATATATATATATATATATATATATATATATATATATATATATATATATATATTTCCTTTATTTCTGCTAAGATCTCATACTTGTTTGCAACTAGTGTAGGACTGCTGATTAAAGAAAAGTAAAATAAGTAAGTAATTATCAAAAGAAGGCACCACGCCGGGAAGGCTGTGTAGCACAACAAAAGTAAAGAAGTTTATGCTTACCATGTTAAGCTTTTGTTTTAAGGCATTTTACATTTATCATATATATATATATATATATATATATATATATATATATATATATATATATATATATATATATATATATATATATATATATATATATATATATATATATATATATATATATATATATATAGGATTCCACCTATTGTTGTTTGTATGGCCCCCTCAAGCCTCAAAGAAGAGGATATGCAGCACCCGGGGAAGCCTTGTCGGACTTCCACTTGCGTTGGCAAATATTGTCTTCTACCGCCCTTTATATATGTTGGTGTTTATTTTATTTAAACGTTATTAAAAAGAGGAGTTACATATAAGGTGTTCCTCTAGCTTCTCAGATGGCGGGCAGGAACCCTGAATGCCGAGTGCATTTCCCCTCTGTAATGCCACGCTGAGACGCTGGAAAAGGAAACCGGAAGCTCTAAGGTCTCTTGTTGTTTCAATTAGCCTAGAACCCAGTTCCTTAAAGAAAATACTGGTGACACTTTTACCCCAGGTGCCATGTGTGTTGGAAGCTATGGGGACAAAACTGTAGTGGTGGTCCAGTTCTCTGTACTTACGTGACTTGACTGATTCTCTATGAGTGGCACGCCACCCGAATGAGCAACATTGAAGTCAATGTAGGTGTCAGCCAGGGTTGATATACACGTGTAGTCCCCACACTGATTTCTATTCTTCCAGGGGTTCACTGTGATCCCATCTGGACGACCAATAAGAACATCATTTATGGGGCAACGGGGTCTCTCTTTCTCAGCTGGGATTTCAGCTGTGGTGAGGCGTCTCTTGATGATATTGTTAACTTCACTGTGCCTCGAGTGCCATCCACCTGTTCTTTGGCAGAGTAGGCCATAGTGGCCTTACCTGTCGGCCTCCACCTCGCCGCAAATACACCTATATCTGGTGTGGATTGGGACAGAAAGAAGGAAGGCCATAGAAATTCAGAGGGCGTGTGGTGTGAGTCGTGTGCCAGTTGCCGACATTGGGGTTGCTAACAGGAAGTCCCCTGCATGTGGGGCTGCTACTGCTGTGAGGCGAGCAATGTCGTGTTGTGTTGTTGCAGCACCCAGGCACTCTGCAGCAACTTGGTCTACAATAGGACCATCCCAGCTGGATTGCTTGTGGGCTTTGATGGTGGTGGTTGAGGTGATGGGCCTGCACTAGAGGCCCACTCGGTGGCACGGATTATAAAATTGGGTACAAAAAATTATGTACGCTTGCCAGCTGACCTAAGTACTCAGGTAGAATTTCCTTCACTTGGTTATCAGATGCCGAGGAAGACAGGAAGGCTGGAACAGCGATTTGCGTTGCTGTTCGAATACAGTAAATGTATATCATATATACTGGCAGGTTAGAACATGCTTAAGTGTGGGAGAACCAAACATCGAAACAACCATTAGTAAATCGAAACAAAATCATCTTTCCTCCTCTTCACATCAAACTGGGTGTAATGAAGAAGTATGTTAAAGCTCTGAGCATAGAACGTGACTGTTTTAAGGACATATGCACAATATTTTCTACCCACAGTTATGAAAAAATGAAAACTTAAGTGTCTGACGGGCCAAAAATCAGAAAAAACTAATGATAGATCAACATTCCACAATCTCCATGAATTATATGGTGAAAAGAGCACGGGATTCTTTCGAATATCTTATGAAAAATTTCCTGGAAACCAAAAAGCTACAAAATGTCAGAATGTGGATTGCAAACGAGCACACAGGTTCGCTTTGTTTTGGCCATCTTGATACATTTCCGGAAAATGTAGGTGGCGTATGTAAAGGGCAAGGTGGCAGCTGCCATCAAGGTGACAGCTGCCATCAAGGTGGCAGCTGCCATCAAGGTGACAGCTGCCATCAAGGTGACAGCTGCCATCAAGGTATAAAATCTATGGAGAAGCGGAACCAAGGAATGTGGGACACCCACATGATGGCTGACTACTGTTGAAGCATTAAAAGAGAATGTCTGGAAAAGAAGGTCTCTGGAAAGACCAACAAGCGACTATTAAACACAAGAAAGAATAATGTGTCATTTACAAATGACACTTAATGTAAATAAACCCACATGTGTCATTGTTTTTGTTTCTACAGTACTCTAAAGGAAATCATACGAATATTCTGGATAATCTTTTGCCCATTTTAATACAATTCACTTAATTCTAGCATCGCTGTATATTTTTTTCTATTTCAATGTTTTGACCTGATGTCATAGTTAGCCAATATATTGGATAATCTCAAAACTGATTCATGGAATTGGTTTTTGGAGCGATAGTCGAAATAAAATGATGAGACTATGAATAATGTGACTGTGGCAATCACTGTAATCTGGCACTTATGTATGGTGAGTGATCGAAAATGGTGTAGAAGAAATATTTGACGTGAAAGACAAACACCAATGTGATATTTGAGTTCAGCTTCCCCAAATTAGTTAGAAACAAGTCTAAGATATAAGTCTGTACAAATTTTGTTGACTGGTTATATATATATATATATATATATATATATATATATATATATATATATATATATATATATATATATATATATATATATTGCAATCAAAATATATAACATTTTGAGTGTTATATATTTTGAACGCAAAAGTTTAACAAGTCATCATCAGAGCAGAATAGAATCTATTCTGCTCTGACGATGGCTTGTGCTCGTGCCGAAAACGCATTCAACAATCAATTATTTTTCATTGTGGTTATTCCGCAAACACACACACACACACACACACACACACACACACACACACACACACACACACACACACACACATATCTATATATATATATATATATATATATATATATATATATATATATATATATATATATATATGCAGAGTAACCACATGTGAAAAATAGAGAATGCTTAACGCGTTTTTCGCCTTCATCAGAGCAAAGTAGAATGAAGATCAATTTATACTACTGTGCTCTGATGAAGGCGAATTAGCCGAAAACGCGTTAAGCAGTCTCCCTCTGCTTCCTCCCTCTGTATCACTCCCTCTGAAGATGAATTAATATACGAAAGTACTTAAGGAAATTCCTGTTTCAATTTTCCTCCATGGTCTGACACTGTCATATATATATATATATATATATATATATATATATATATATATATATATATATATATATATATATATATATATATAATATATGTATTTATTTAGAATACAAAAATACGAAAAACACAGTAAAAGATAAATATACAAAATGGAAATAGAAATATACACTATGGCAAGTAAAAAATATTTAACAAAGAGAAAATACACAATAATAAAAGAAACACACTCATTGATACGATAAATATACTTAACGACAAAGGAAAAAAAAAATACTCAATCACAAGAGAATAATTAAAAAAAAAGACGAAGAAATCAAGATAAAACTTTGACGCGGGCTTCTTCGAGGAGCCGGAACCAAATCTCAAACAGCACTTGAAGCCGTTCAGCTTCCTTGTTTACAGGTCATAGGGGCGCTACAAAACGTTTGATTCTAACAATTCGCCAGCTACTGACTCTCCTGATACAGGTAAGGACATACATGGATCCCTTGGTAAGACGTGTCTACATAAAATATTGCAGTTTGTATTAGTTCACAATGGAATTATCTCCGTTTTCCCTGTACCTGAAACTGTTTCCGAGAACAGGGCCTTCATATTTCCGGTTTCTTAATGACATAACTTTGCAAATTTGATTTTGTTGTTGTTAAAGTTGCGGGTAGGTGATTATGGTGAGAGTGGCCGCGAGGTGGTAATGACAGAGGTTGACGGGTTCATGTCCGGAAAGATGAGGGCAGAGACGGGTAACACTACAGGGGAAGGCTGGCTCTCTCTCTCTCTCTCTCTCTCTCTCGGGGTCTCCCTCACGCCTGTCGTCTGCTACTCCTGCAGATTCGTTGATTTCATCGACTGCTGCCACTACTGCCACTACTGCTGCTGCTGTTCCTGCTGCTGCTGCTGCTGCTGCTGCTGCTGCTGCTGCTGCTGCTGCTGCCGCTTCTATCGCGGCTTCTCCATATGCTGCTGCCTCGATAGCTGTAACTCTGCAGGGAAATCAACCAAAATTAGAACCTCATCTGCAGCTCTAGTGACACAAGAACATCAGAAGGGTTGCGAAGCGAGAAAGTTTGTCAGTGCGTCTTGTATAAGAGAAGCAACAAAAAACAAAACTGGGTTTGAATTGCACATGGAGACGACTCCATCTACGTGACTCATAAACACAAAGTATTCTGCATTTGCTATCTATTTCTATTATGCCAGACACTGAAACAAGGTCATCCTTAAGTGCGTGTTAGTAGAGTTCATGAACAAATCTCGTAAAAGCGCTTGTAGTGCATAATGCAAGCATTCATTTTAGCAAAGAATTAATCCGCCTCGTAGAAGTTTATTTGATACACAATTGGTATAAACAATTCACACGAGGGTCGCAGGTGTGAGTTCACGTGGAAAAAATATTTCATATTTTACCTCAAACAAATTTTGTTAGTTTTTTTTTATATATTGGAGAAAGTAGGCGGGATCTGTGAGTGGCGAGAAATAGCCGAAGTTGTCTAGAGTTGGCAAGGGCTTCTAGAGTGAGGAGGAGGAGGAGCAACATTAGCGCTCCGCCAGATAGTTCATGAACACAACTCGTATTTAGCAACGATGAGAACAACTTGTCTTAGCTTTGGAGAGAAGTAATGAGAGAGAATGACGATAAGAAGACTGGTGGAGAGGAGGGAGGAAGACACCCACCCTGGAGCTCATCACTGCAGGGAAGAAAATATTAATTAGAAACAACAAGAAACACTAAAACTAGATATATATAAATCCCCCAATTCGCTCCCCCCCCAAAAAAAAAAACACATTAAAAACATAATGGCAACACCATATGGAGAGGAGGCCTGGTCGACGACCGGGCCGCGGGGACGCTGAGCCCCGGAAGCACCTCAAGGTAACCTCAAGGTAAATAAGGGAATCATGAGAAGAAAGCGCTTAGACGAGTATGCCACTATATCATATGCAAGTATTATGCGAACAAGGACCTGGAACTAGGCGAACAGAGTTAGGCAATAATGATTCATCAACCACTTGCACCGTCGGAGGATCGAACGCCGACCCTGCAAGATGCGAGACCGTCGCTCTACCCACCAGTCCAGGTAAAGAACTGTTATTGATCTACACAATAAAATTACATAATGTTATGTAATGTTATTGTGTTTTAATTACAAAAAAAAACGTTAAAAAGTGATGAATGTATCTTAGGGAGGATAGCCAGGGCCTCAATGAGCCGGGCAGGATAGCCGGGAAGGGCTATCTCAAGTCTCAGTTGGATATCAGTTGCGTGTCTCTGAGATCCTCCTCTATAGCGAGTATTCAACAGCCTGGTTGGTAGAGGTACAGTCTTTCACTTTTGTGACCCCGGGTTCGAGACTCCGAGGGCCCGAGTGAACGAAATGTTACTATCCTCATTAATTATGGTTGGCATAATGTTTTAAACTGAGTGTTGAGTTCCGTGAGGGCAGCGTGTGGACCAGGCCAGGAGAGTGGCAGGGAGTGACACAAGGTGAAGATGGTTGAGAAGCTGTGAGGCAGCCACCACCACACACACTCCTCCGTCACACATGGACCACCAATACACACACATCTCCGTCACACATGGACCACCACCACACACACTCCTCCGTCACACATGGACCACCAATACACACACATCATCTCCGTCACACATGGACAAACAACACACACACACCTCCGTCACACACGGACCACCACCACACACACTCCTCCGTCACACATGGACCACCACCACACACACATCTCCGTCACACATGGACCACCACCACACACACATCTCCGTCACACATGGACCTCCACCACACACACACCTCCGTCACACACGGACCACCACCACACACACTCCTCCGTCACACATGGACCACCACCACACACACATCTCCGTCACACATGGACCACCACCACACACACATCTCCGTCACACATGGACCAACAACACACACACACCTCCGTCACACATGGACAAACAACACACACACACCTCCGTCACACACGGACCAACACCACACACACACCTCTGTGACACACACACACACCTCCGTCACACATGGACCAACAACACACACACACCTCCGTCACACACGGACCAGCACCACACACACACCTCTGTGACACACACACACACCTCCGTCACACATGGACCAACAACACACACACACCTCCGTCACACACGGACGAGCACCACACACACACCTCTGTGACACACACACACACCTCCGTCACACATGGACCAACAACACACACACACCTCCGTCACACACGGACCAGCACCACACACACACCTCTGTGACACACACACACACCTCCGTCACACATGGACCAACAACACACACACACCTCCGTCACACATGGACCAGCACCACACACACACACTCCTCCGTCACACACGGCCCAACATACAACGGATACTTGAATAACTTATACATTAGCCGACGAGGAAGAGATTATAATACATCAAGATGGACGCTTAGCGTGCACTGTCCACCGTGCACTGTCAACCGTGCACTCAACCGTCGCAACATTAAGTGTAGCTCACCTGGCGTCAAGCACTACGTAAACAGAGCAACAGCCGGGTATTAACGCTCACATCCGCTCTACAACAGTTTCCACTCGTCCGTATCGTCGTCATACGCTGGTCGGTGGTACAGAGCGAGGCTGTTTAGGGGCCAAACATAAAAATTATTAGAAACTGCAGATGGCTTATTGGACAATACGAAGCAACTCTTATTTATATCCAGCCTAACTCATTCTTATATATATGTCTAGCCTACATTAAAAAAATAATCCAACAATCTCATATACATCCTGTTACCCTGTGATTTTATTAATCAATAACCTTGTTTCTAAACTAATATTTAACGAGGCCTTTCTGACTCTAAATCTTTTCCCATTTGTATCCATTGTTTCATGTTAATTTTTGTATATTGATATAGTTAGCAATTTATAAATATCCACTTTGCAGTGTCCTTTCATCCATATGTATACTCAGTCGTGTCATCCTCAATTCTTCGTCTGTTCAGAGACGGAATAAATTTACCTTTCTTGATCTCTTGAAAATAGAGGTTACCTGCTCTTGGGAAATGTTTAGCCAACCTTGAGAGACAAGCTCGTCCTTCACCGTTATCTTGAGGTTATCTTGAGATGATTTCGGGGCTTTAGTATCCCCGTGGCCCGGTCCTCGATCAGGCATCCACCCGCAGGAAGCAGCCCGTGACAGTTGACTAACACCCAGGTACGTATTTTACTGCTAGGTAACAGGGACATAGGGTGAAAGAACCTCTGCCTAGTGTTTCTCGCCGGCGCCGGGGATCGAACCCGGGACCACAGGATCACAAGTCCAGCGTGCTGTCCGCTCGGCCGACCTTGCCTTAAAGGTAAGTGCATAATCTAAGTGACTCTTGATGTTAAGTGTTAAGTGCATAATCTAAGTGACTCTTGATAAGGGCAACATAAAAGTTGAAGCAAAACATTAGATGTCTTGTTAAAGACTTTCCTAAACACGAATCAGAGCTTCCCATTTAATTTATTTCATACATTGACTCATAAGCTTTTTTAACTTAGGATCTTAACCCATCATAAGACTCTGGTCCTTATCACATTAAAGTTCGCCAGTTTCAACATTATCCAACTGGTATTTAGAAGCGCTATTTTGAGTGCCTCTGTTCACAACTCTGTAATTGCCAGCTGTCTGTATAGGGTCATGTGTGGGACTGTCAGATGTGTGTGTGTGTATATAAGAACATGTGATGGCCAGGCAGGTGTGTGTGTGTGTGTGTGTATAAGAACATGTGATGGCCAGGCAGGTGTGTGTGTGTGTGTGTGTGTATAGCCATGTGATCGCTCGTCACGTGTGAATATTACCAAGTGATGGCTCATCAGGAATATGTGTTGGTCCATGTGTCGGCCAGCCAGGTGTGTGGACAGGGCCAGGTGTCGCTGGTCTCTGTCGATAATTTTGGTGTTGTTTGTGAGTACATCACCAGGCTGGTGGTGGTGGGCGAGGGCACCAGGCTGGTGGTGGTGGTGGGCGAGGGCACCAGGCTGGTGGTGGTGGTGGGCGAGGGCACCAGGCTGGTGGTGGTGGTGGGCGAGGGCACCAGGCTGGTGGTGGTGGTGGGCGAGGGCACCAGGCTGGTGGTGGTGGTGGGCGAGGGCACCAGGCTGGTGGTGGTGGTGGGCGAGGGCACCAGGCTGGTGGTGGTGGTGGGCGAGGGCACCAGGCTGGTGGTGGTGGTGGGCGAGGGCACCAGGCTGGTGGTGGTGGGCGAGGGCACCAGGCTTGTGGTGGTGGTGGGCGAGGGCACCAGGCTGGTGCTGGTGCAGCAGTAAAGTTGCCCAACAGGTCACTCCAGCCCGTACAGCCCCGTCTGCCTCTCCACTTCCTCACAACCTTCTATCAAAACTCACGTAAAGCTTTACATTTACAAACTGTTTCTCATTCTCCAGTATTTGTGTTGGTTAACTGACAGCCGCCGGAGCCCAGAGCAACAGTCCCGTCTCTCCGGCTCATGTCAAGGATGAACTCTGGTATTGAACTTGGGTTCAATACCAGAGTTCACTGTCTCTGGTGGAGCACAGCGGTCATTTTCACACTGCCATTGACTGTTTACATTACTGAGGGCACTCTCTCAGCGGCACCTGGAGCCAGGGAATTAAGGCATCTATTGGATGTCAGGCATATATTTAAGATGTCTTCGTCAGCTGTCATATACCGACTTAATTATTTAACGTAAACAGCATCTGATGAACAATAACATCGCACACTGGGTACCAGAGTGAACATTGCAGAGATGACTGAGCAACAGGGAGCTGATCACGGTGGAATGAGCTACTGAGTGAGCTGATCACGGTGGAATGAGCTACTGAGTGAGCTGAGCACGGTGGAATGAGCTACTGAGTGAGCTGAGCACGGTGGAATGAGCTACTGAGTGAGCTGAGCACGGTGGAATGAGCTTCTGAGTGAGCTGAGCACGGTGGAATGAGCTACTGAGTGAGCTGAGCACGGTGGAATGAGCTACTGAGTGAGCTGAGCACGGTGGAATGAGCTTCTGAGTGAGCTGAGCACAGTGGAATGAGCTACTGAGTGAGCTGAGCACAGTGGAATGAGCTAGTGAGTGAGCTGAGCATAGACGAATGAAGAACAAAGTGCTGACACATCTCATTCTACCGCGAGGTGCGGTAGAGCCCCCCCCCACACACACACACCTGCCTCTCCTCAACACACCCGCCTCTCCTCAACACACCTGCCTCTCCTCAACACACCCGCCTCTCCTCAACACACCCGCCTCTCCTCAACACACCTGCCTCTCCTCAACACACCCGCCTCTCCTCAACACACCTGCCTCTCCTCAACACACCCGCCTCTCCTCAACACACCTGCCTCTCCTCAACACACCCGCCTCTCCTCAACACACCCGCCTCTCCTCAACACACCTGCCTCTCCTCAACACACCCGCCTCTCCTCAACACACCTGCCTCTTCTCAATACACCCGCCTCTCCTCAACACACCCGCCTCTCCTCAACACACCTGCCTCTCCTCAACACACCCGCCTCTCCTCAACACACCTGCCTCTCCTCAACACACCCGCCTCTCCTCAACACACCTGCCTCTCCTCAACACACCTGCCTCTCCTCAACACACCCGCCTCTCCTCAACACACCCGCCTCTCCTCAACACACCTGCCTCTCCTCAACACACCTGCCTCTCCTCAACACACCTGCCTCTCCTCAACACACCCGCCTCTCCTCAACACACCTGCCTCTCGTGTTACTTACCTCCTGTAGAAGGCGGACGTCGTCTGGCCGATGGCGCCGGCCCGCTCTTTCTTGTCCATTACAAAATAATGTATCGTTTGAAGATCCCCGGATTCCCAAATTACGGAGCCCCCAGATTCCCAATTGCAAGCAACACCTGCAATTGCACTACAGAGCTATTGTGAAGCGGTCGTTAAGTTCTCAGCTACAGCCAACAGCAAACATCTCCCAACGACCAACATCTCTACCTCGGGGCATTACAAGAGGAACACACCCCTAGAACATTGCTAGTCCTTGAGTTGTGCGGTTAAGGGCAGTAGTGCTCCGAGGGCGACCCCGGGCGCCAGCACTCTCATACTGTTATATACAGTCTACCTTCTTGTGTCAGCAGTCTGTTGTAGCGTCACATTGTTCCAGGTAGACTGTTGTAGCGTCACACTGTTCTAGGCAGACTGTTGTAGCGTCACACTGTTCCAGGCAGACTGTTGTAGCGTCACACTGTTCCAGGCAGACTGAGGAGCGTCATACTGTTCCAGGCAGACTGTTGTAGCGTCACACTGTTCCAGGCAGACTGAGGAGCGTCACACTGTTCCAGGCAGACTGTTGTAGCGTCACACTGTTCCAGGCAGACTGTTGTAGCGTCACACTGTTCCAGGCAGACTGTTGTAGCGTCACACTGTTCCAGGCAGACTGTTGTAGCGTCACACTGTTCCAGGCAGACTGTTGTAGCGTCACACTGTTCCAGGCAGACTGTTGTAGCGTCACACTGTTCCAGGCAGACTGTTGTAGCGTCACACTGTTCCAGGCAGCCTGTTGTAGCGTCACACTGTTCCAGGCAGACTGTTGTAGCGTCACACTGTTCCAGGCAGACTGTTGTAGCGTCACACTGTTCCAGGCAGACTGAGGAGCGTCACACTGTTCCAGGCAGACTGTTGTAGCGTCACATTGTTCCAGGCAGCCTGTTGTAGCGTCACATTGTTCCAGGCAGCCTGTTGTAGCGTCACACTGTTCCAGGCAGCCTGTTGTAGCGTCACACTGTTCCAGGCAGCCTGTTGTAGCGTCACATTGTTCCAGGCAGCCTGTTGTAGTGTCACTGTTCCAGGCAGCCTGTTGTAGTGTCACACTGCTCCAGGCTGACTGTTGTAGCGTCACACTGTTCCAGGCAGACTGTTGTAGTGTCACACTGCTCCAGGCTGACTGTTGTAGCGTCACACTGTTCCAGGCAGACTGTTGTAGCGTCACACTGTTCCAGGCTGACTGTTGTAGCGTCACACTGTTCCAGGCAGACTGTTGTAGTGTCACACTGCTCCAGGCTGACTGTTGTAGCGTCACATTGTTCCAGGCAGACTGTTGTAGCGTCACACTGCTCCAGGCTGACTGTTGTAGCGTCACACTGTTCCAGGCAGACTGTTGTAGCGTCACATTGTTCCAGGCAGCCTGTTGTAGCGTCACACTGTTCCAGGCAGACTGTTGTAGCGTCACATTGTTCCAGGCAGCCTGTTGTAGCGTCACATTGTTCCAGGCAGACTGTTGTAGCGTCACATTGTTCCAGGCAGCCTGTTGTAGCGTCACATTGTTCCAGGCAGACTGTTGTAGCGTCACATTGTTCCAGGCAGACTGTTGTAGCGTCACATTGTTCCAGGCAGCCTGTTGTAGCGTCACATTGTTCCAGGCAGCCTGTTGTAGCGTCACATTGTTCCAGGCAGACTGTTGTAGCGTCACATTGTTCCAGGCAGACTGTTGAAGCGTCACATTGTTCCAGGCAGACTGTTGTAGCGTCACATTGTTCCAGGCAGCCTGTTGTAGTGTCACTGTTCCAGGCAGCCTGTTGTAGCGTCACACTGTTCCAGGCAGCCTGTTGTAGCGTCACACTGTTCCAGGCAGACTGTTGTAGCGTCAC